TCTTATTTATTCTCTGTGGAACCAAGCAGACCCAGACCATGGTCTTGCACCCGAGGCTCGCATCTAGCGGCAAATACAAGTGTCCTCTCCTGTTTGGAAGAGCTGAACCACTAACATAGAAGGCATAAGTGCAGTATGTGCTCAGCACTTCTGCAGAGTGGCAGCTGCTGGGACACACTGCTTGGTCAAAAAAACACTTTATCCCTTTCTTCCCACAAATATTTCATCCTTGACTATATACAGGTGCTGTTAAATGAGTAAAGTAAACATACTGAAAAACAGAGATAAGCAAAATTCATTTAGTATTTTCAGTGAAAAAAAATGGTAGATGTTCTTAAACAAAGGAAACGATGCTTAATATTATACTGTCACTGTAACAGCATTTACTGCAAAATCTAATTTTAAAAGACTTTGTTTTTTGGACAGCAGAGCAACGTTCTATTTTTTTTTATTTTTGTTATTGAATGAAAGGACTGGTAGCTGGTTATTTTATTAGGAGATCTTTAATGCTTCGTTACTGAAGTAATCTGATTTATTCCACATAAGGGAAAATATATATTCTTCTGGAAATTTGTAGTAAATTTCAGGGAAAAGTCACTTCCAACAAAACTGATTTAGCAATACCCACAGGTGATGGCATGAACTCTATCAAAGGTAAGGAAATTGCCTTTCAAACTCTTGGCAAGAATTTCCTTCAGGATACATTGAAAGCTTCAGAGCATTGAGTGTACTGAGCTGACTGCTGAAGGAAACAGTAATTAACAGCTGGATCTCAAAAATTAAGAATTCACAGATCTTCAAGTCAAAACATGAAGTTCATTCTGTCTGGGGATTAATCTTACGGTCACCCATTTCTAAGTACAGAGCTTGTGACAGGTAACTAAGTCACTGAAAGATCATCAAATTAATGCAAAACCACATTGAAATACTTTTATTTTTAAAGAATCTTGTATTTAAATATATTTCTAAGGAGAGTAAACACCACAGTAAGTTAATTTAAGGACTTTTAACCAAGAAAACCCTAAGTTTTGATAAGACATTTTGGGGGCGTTTAGGGGAGATGGTGGTTTTAGTGTTTTGTTTTTAACTTCAGCGGTTGCAGCTTGAAGATTACATGTATAAAATTTACAAGTTGAACTAACAAAAAGGGTGATAATAATTTTTATATCTTTTCCCTCACATGCCATTACTTTCTTTTATGACTATTGGCTCTCCAGGTCAAACTTCGTACCTTTCAAAGGGAAAATAAATTCGACCATTTCTAAAGAGGTGATCTATCCCACAGAGTAAAATCCACTTTCCACAAAGATAGGCATTTATTTCACATATGTATATGCAGCAATTTTAATATTATATAAATAGCCATTTATCTATCTATACAGCTATCTAATTTTGTTACAAGCAGGTTTATGAGTTTTGGAAGGAAAAGACATCTGTATGAAAGCATTGTGGATGGCTTGTGGTCATGAAAGTATGCTCCACAAATATGACATTTCTGAAACATCTGAAAAAACCTCCACCACATCACAGCACAGAAACTTCTCCTACCCTCAAGCTCTTCATGTTACAAAATGAATAAGCTTTTCTAGGCAAACCTTGTGAAGGTCTCAGTAAGCTGTGCTCCTTCCTGTGCACTCGCAGAAACAAAAACAATGTCTGGAAAAAGTAGCCCTGACATATATTTTTAACTACCAATTTTTAAGTTCAGGCCAACTGAAACATTTCTATGGATGATAAATAAATTTCGTAAAACATCAACATTTTGTCACACTGCGCAATACAGACATTTTTAAAACTAGCACTTATTAAAGAATAAAAAGTGCATTGATTTTTTTTGGTTGTTGTTCTCAGAGATATAAAGAGCTCAAAGCATTAAGACAATTAGCCAAAATGATGGATTTGAACACATGCTGCATTTTACTGTTAACATGTATGCGTAACTTCCATTAATGTCAGTATGAGTTATGTGTGCACTGCTAAAATAATATAACCATAACAAAAATATTTCCTCCAGAACTGATACAGTAATATTTTTAACAGACATTTTGGAAAAAAAAAAAACAAAACAAACACATATTTAGAAAGTCATACGCAAATGAAAATCATTTTCCAGATTTAAATCTTTGGAATTCTTTATAATAGCTCTTATTTTTTTCACGTTGGTATTAAGTTAAGAATAACTTGATGTTTATCTCCTTCCATCAAACTACCTTTCATTTAATGGGCACTTCTCTAGTTTCCAGTTCAAAAAGACCAACCAGATAATGAACAAGGTCCAACTTCTATGCATTTTTACTCTAAACTTCCTTAAATAACTGGATGTATACAGGAACATGTAATGACAACTGAAGAAGTTATCTAAAACTGACAACTGATTGTAGCCAGTATATTAAGATGGATCTTCGCAATGTCAGCCAGATGGGCCTAGAATGCAGAGTTATGTTTGGAACTTGAACATAATATAAGCATAGGAAATCATCATGAATGTTCTTAAACACACAGTACATGCCTATTTAACTGAGAGGTAGCAGCCAAAAACTGTAATCACGCAACATTAAATTTTAAAAATGATAAATAGAAGTTACAGTCAATGCTGCCAATTAATAAATGATCTTAAAATAGCCAAGACACATTCTTTTAATATATTACTACAGCACAGAATTATCATTATTTTCTCCATGGACATCTGGGCCTTGCTTCTGTAATCTGGTTTTGAGAATGCTTTATTCATGAGAAAAAATGTAATGCCATATTTAGTACATTCTGTGGTAATGCAGCAGTTTTATAAAGTTTGTTTGTCATACACCTATTTCAGTGAGCAATTTCAGAAATTAAACTATTGCAATGAAATACCCAAATTATTTCTAAAAGACATTTATTACTAGAATCAGAGAATCACAGCATGGTTTGGGTTACGGACATTAAAGCTCATCCAGTTCCAGCACCTCTGCCATGAGCAGGGGCACCTTTCACTAGACCAGGCTGCTCCAAGCCCCATCCAAGATGGTCTTGAACACTGCCAGGGATGGGGTACCCACAACTACTCTGGGCAGCCTGTGCCAGCACCCCACCACACCACAGGGGAAAAAGAACTTCTCCCTAATGTCTAATCTAAATCTCCTTTTTGTCAGTTTAAAGCAATTCCCCCTTGTCCTGTCATAAGATGCCCTTGTAAAAAGCCCTCCTCTAGAATTCTTATCAGCCCCTTGAGGTACTGGAAGGGTACTCTTAAGTTCTCTCCAGAGCCTGCTCTTCTCCAGGCTGAACAAGCCTAGCTCTCTCAGCCTGTCTTCACAGAAAAGGTGTTCCAGAAAAGTAAGAGCAAAAAACCAAACAAAACCAAACCATAAAAAAAACCAACACACCACTCCCCCCCAAAAAAAACAAAAATACATAAAACAAAAAGAACCAAAACACCCCCCCCATAAACCAACATACATTTAACTAGAAATCTTTACTAATTTCAATTTTATATCCTAATTTAAAATTTTCTTCTAATTTTTACTACTTTACTTTAAAAGTTTATACTGTAAAAGCACAGTATGTATCTCATTAAAAATTTCAAACTGTTTCTATCTTGGACCACTGATACTGGGGTCTTTCACCATAGTAGCATCACCCTTTATTCATAAAATGGAACAGCTTTTATCAAAAGTCAAACTTCACTATTTTTTGTCAAAATCCCTTCTCTGACTGAAGATATATGCCTTTCACGGCTTTTCTGTGAGGTTCTGTGTACCCAAGCAAAAAAAAATCACAGGAAGAGAATTAAGGATACTGCTTCTTTTTCCCCTATGTTGATCAATAATTGGCAATTATAATCAAAAATGAAAACCAAATCTTACCATTTGGAGAAGAAACAAGTATGCACTCAAAGAAACAAACCAAAGCATTATACAGAAAAGATGACTCCATGAAATATACTGGCAATGAGCACCACAGGTGTATTAATATGTACATATAAAAGAAAATCAGAAAATGTAAAAAAAAAGTATCTATTTTAGAAGGTAATGCCACATGCTACTCTAATTCATATGTGCTCCTATTTATTTTTTTTTAAAAGATATAGACCTCATTAAAGTCAAAGCAGAAGTTCTTTTGTTTTCACTGGAAACATTTGTGCTTACATGACAGTATTCTGCAACCATATTACATGGCAGCCATTCTTAAACCCTACCTTTATAAAATTCTAGTACATATTTGTTTCCATTTCCAATCTGTCTTATTTACAGCAACATTATTAAAACCATTTTTTCTGATTATTTAACTTCCTTTTATATTAAATATCTACAATTTAACTGAAATTATATACAGCTTAAGTGCTTGGGGTTTATTCTTCCCTCCCTCAATAAAACAGTTTCAAAATTACAACTGTGAATTTTCTTTGTTGAATGTTAACTCCCCACCAGCCTAGCCAAGTCACAACAGGTTCACTCTTTTTTGCAGGTTTTAATGATCATGTCAGAGCTTTAAGATCCCATAATTACAGATATTTACCTTTATTGTGGGTAGGAGGTTAGATTTAAATTATAGGTCTACCCTCCTTTTTCGTTCTGTACTTTGTGTATGCAAATAGGTTTTTGGTGGTTTGGGGATTTTTTAACAAATTCAGTGCAATAAACTTTGCACCATCCACATGAAGCTAATGAACTCTTTACATGAGTTTGATACTAACAGAAATTCCAACACAGAATTCCCACTGTAGATGGGGCTTTAGACTCTCAATTTCTCAAGGAAATCATATTGTGCTGGTATTTTGTTTGCATGTAACAAAGGAAAGCTTTCAAAAATTTCTTCTCATCAATTGTTTAGTACTTCTAAAATGAAGACTTTCTATATGAACTTAACACTCAAGACAACTAGAAGTCCTTAGATTCAGATAAATATATAATAGAACAAAACAAAATAAACAAACCCAGGAAAAAAAAAACAAAACCTTCTCATAGCAAAAAAGCAGTAATTTTAATTTTTCTAGAAATCAGATATATCAATGTACTTACTTCATTTCTAAAATTTCTTCAAGCTGTTTTCTTCGCTCTATTCTCAGGTTAGCCAGATGTGCTTCTTTTTCAGCCAAAGACTGCTGTGTTGAGGCAAGACGTGCTTTGGTAGAATCTAATTCTTGTCTAGTCTTTTCCAGTGCATTCATCAGCTCTTCTACCTAAGAGAGAGAACTTTTTAAGATCCATATTCTTTACAATGAGTCTTAAATCTATATATGGGGAAAAAAAACTAAACAAAACTACATAAAAGGAACTATGGTAAACAGCTATTCAAATCTATTCCTGTCTTAACTGTTTTAAAACTGAAGTAGTCCTTTAAATACCAAAAAATCTTAATGTTCCCATGAATCCACTGAGTAACAAGCAGCATTCATACAAAACAGAACTAATACAGATCACCAGAAATCCATTTAACCTGGGCCACTGCTACATACAGACACAGCTTACAAATATTTTGTACACCATTTATATTATTTAAATCCAGGGTAGTGGTAACTCAGCGTAACAGCAATTTCAGAAATTCTAGAAGCAGATATAGGTATTTCTTTTAATATAAAACTGGTCATGGTAATCAATGTATTTTTATCAAAAAACACACACCCTTCTGTGCAGAACAGGTTGCCCATGGAAGCTGTAGGCTCTCCAGTCTTTGGCTATCAGATCTTGACTGAATGAAGCCTCGAGAATCAGATCCAACTTCAAAGTTACTCCTGTTTGAAGCAGGGGTTTCAACCGCATTGCCTCTAGTGGTCCCTTCTAACCCCAATTATTCTAGGATTCCAAACTTTAAATGTTTGTTACTGCTCTAGTAATAACTGAGTTATTTTCCTCATTACAAGTGTGAGAATCTCTGAACTCTGAAATGTAGGAAAGTGTGGGTAATCCCACTCTTTAATTAGCACTAGTAAATGTCAGCTGGACACAGAATAAATGGCTTAACTCCAGGAACTCAGCAAACCTCCATCTTTTCAGAAAACAGAATTCAGAAGAAAAAAAAAAGTGTACAATATGGTCCATCACATTCTTTAGAGAACGCACTAAAGAATGGAGACTACATAATGACACCTGTCTGGCAGCATACAATTTACCTGTGGGATGAACCATTATAGTCACAGAAGTAGAGAGTCATAAATAGTCCCTGGTAACCAGAACACCAGCACGATTTCCCCTTATTCAAATGATACAGTTTACATTAAGAGCTGCAAGTGAGCAACAGATGCACTTCGGGTTTTTATGAGATATAATGATTCAAATAATGGATGTTCTATTTCCTGTATCTTCTTTCTCACCTCTTTTGTCCAAATATTAACATCTTATAAATTAGTGAACACTTCAGGAAGAATATGTGAATGAAATGTAATGGAAAAGAGGATATATTCCAGTTGTTCATGTCATGCAAGCCATTTAAAAGTGTTCACTTTTGCTGGCGTATTGAAAAGTCTAAAAATATTCTACTGTGGCTATCAGTGAACATCAGCATGGCTACAGAGAAAACGTTTGCTCCAAATTTCATGCAAATTTTTGTTTCTTATTATCTAAATCCTACTGGCATGCAATCAGTGTTTACAAACCACATTATTTTTGCTTCAGTTTGAAAACACATTGCCTCCTATATAACAGGTTCAATATAGCAAAATTAATAATGCAGTCGTCATCAAATTACGAGTACTCACACCCTGTTTGAAAATTATATACTGATTACTTACCTCTTCTACACCAGCTGCATCTGCATCTTTATATTCTCATAAGATAAATGGAATGTAAGAACACATCTGATACCCTTCGTATGTAAGAAGCTGTATTTCATGAATGCAGGATCAGAATTACCAATAGCATTGAAACTACTGATGCTCAACCTTCCATCCAGAAAGTAAAACCAGCATAATACTGATACAAATGAAAGAGCAAGGAGTGAAAATGATGCAATAGAGTTGGTGCAGGTGCAAGATTCCACTACAACAAACCATGAAAGATGAAGGCTTTAGATATTTTTGTAAAAGGACTACCTAGTGAACTTTCACAGTAGAAGCAGCAAAGAGAAAATATACTTGAGGAAAATAAAGAAATAAGAAAGCTGGATTTGCATTTAAGGGGGGGGGGGGTGTATTTAAAAAAAAAAAAAAAAGCCCCCAAAAATGCATACGGAGAGAGATCAAATTTCTTTAAAAATATACTGAATTTCTAATATAACACAAGAGACTTCATTTTCTGTTTTAGCACAAGAATACAAACCCATGCTGTCTCCAACACGGACAAAGCTCAACAACTAAACCATAATATGACATTTCTATCCGTTTTCTTGGGTTATTTCTCAGGCTCATCCTTGTGTTTTTTAAAAACTGCTTGTAGTTGCTGCTGAGCCTCCAGCCTGCTGGTTAACTCCAGGATACATACATTAATGGAAACAGTAGTAAGTTTTCAAGACTGAGAAATCATTCATTCATGAAGACTCTTGCTTTGAGACAGCATCTTTAAACACCCAGTCACTCTGCACTTACAGATTTGTTTGGCAGATGAGAATGCAGGAAGGCAGAATAATAGTACTTCCATATCTTTAGTATCATTGCATTCCTTTTCCTATAGGTTCAGCTGAATTTAGTATCCAGCCTGCTGACTGGCTGAATACTCACCTAAGTTCTGATGTATCACATCAGTTATATTTTAAAACATTTCAGGGAATTAAAAACTTGTGGAAAACAAAGCTGTGGATTTGTTAATGTATATTAATAACATACTCTTGTGTTACCAGACAAAAGAGATCAAAGTTTAAAGGAGAGAGAAAAAAACCTTTAAAAATTTAAATATGAAAACTTTCTCAAACCACAAATCGTTAACACGTGTAGACTTGAAAGTTACACTTTCATTTACACTTTCAACCCAGTATTTGCCAGCTAGTTCTTCCTTCACTTCTTGAATAAGACCCAAGTTCAGAGTTGTATGTTTTCCTAGTTAACCGTCTCATCCGCAGCTACAGCAGGATTCACACATACAGGCATGTGCAGAAGGAACTGATTTTTATTTTTCTATAAATCAACTGCTATCCAATGTGAATGTGTGAGTGCTGAAGGTGCACAATCATCTTTGCATGTTTATTATACAGCTGTAGAAGATACAATGGAAAATGAACTTAAAACACTGAAGGCAGTATTATCTAGATAGAAAAGTCGGGGTGGAAGGGAACATTGTAAACATACACCAAATTCTTAATGTAAGCACATGTTCTCATCTTTGGTATTAGAATTAAAACGATAGCTGAAAGGAATGAAGGGTTAATGTCAGTTTATTACCTCTCAGCCTTACTGTAAGAAATGGGAATAAATCCAGTAGTACTAGTGACAGATTTTAGCTCCCTTTTGCTGCATTTAGGAGCACATACTCTTCTGAGCATTACAAAGGGTCAAGATGAAGTTTGTCTTCATGACCCTGTTACCTGTGCTCATACACCCGTTTGCGTGCCGAACCGACGCACCTGCGCTATGTAATTACCACAGATGCAGCCTTTATTCACACAGGCAGGTCTCACAGTAACCCCGTTCACCAACAACACGCTCTGAGGGACGCGCGGCTCCCCAGGGCCCACCGCGCCCGCGCCCGCGCCCGCCCCCAGCGCGGCTCCTGCCCTGCAGCGCCACCTGCTGGGAAGGCAGGTGACGTCCCCGAGCTCCCGCGGACAGCTCCTGACCAGCCCGGCAGACACTTGGTTCCTGAGATCTGCTCATTTTCTCCCCGTTATCTCTATTAGGGGAAATACCTCTAATCAAAACCTTTGCCATTTATATAGCAGCTAAAGAATTAATAAGGATTCATGTTTTGAAAGAATTTACTCTGAGAACCTCTTTGAATACAAAGTTCTTTGCTACTACACACTCTATGGCCCCAGTACATTATTAAGTGGTGGGGTTTTTTTCCACTTTGAAAGACAACGGCCTCATTCTATCCTTTGGATTTTCTAATAGAAACCTTTTTTATATATATACTTTCAGAAAGTCTAACCGACCCCAGCACTTCAAGGACTTTATTAAAATCACTGCTAGAATTAAGTTTACATCTTAGAACGGCAGAAACACAGCATATTCTTAAAATTCTTCCTTAGTTTTGAGTCTGTTTTAAATGAGCATTTTATACGTCTTCTGCAGCCTCACATTTTCAAGTCCTATCAGCAGCGTTTCACACCAAGATAAGAAAAGAAAAAGAAATGAATGTGGCTGTAGTATACATCTGCGTTACCAGATTCTGCAAATTAAAGAAGGTTAGAGTTCAAATGAATGACAGTTTATTAAAAATGCCCTGGAGCATTCTTAATTCCAGATTGGATTCGGCTCAGCACAACTCATGCTAACATAATACTGTTCCAGTTTGTGGGAATAAGGAGGGGGAGGGACAACTGCATGTTTTCTCAGGTCAAGTATAATATATTTCTGCACGATGACGAAGAGCTGGCAAGTGGCCAGCAGTCAAGGTTAGTATTATTAGTATTACTATCTTAAAGGGTTGGCACTTCATTTTAGCAGTGATATTGGTGATAAATATAAGAGTTTTGGATCTCTCTAACTGACTTTTTCAAGTATCAGTAGCTATACAAAAACTCCCTCTTTTTTTTATTTAAAACCTTATCTTCTGTTAGTACACACAGATCACTTATGATCTGTACATAATAAAGGGAAATAAATTCTACTATTTACTTATCAATTCTTCACTTTTCTTTAATACAAGAATATTAACCATTACAGATAATTTAAATTTAAAAAAAAAAAAGCAACTTTAACAATTACATTTTTCCAGTTCAGGTTTATATGAGCTGAATTTTAGCAATAAGTCATCAGTCAGTGTAAAAATCCATCCAACTGTTTTCAGAGGTGGTTTGATGTTTTTTCCATTTGCTAAGAAAATGCTTTTCTTTTTCTTTCTTTTTGCCAAGTTACACTATGTAAATTTCAGTTATCTCCAGTTCTGTGAAGATTAATTTAATAAAAACTATTTTTTTTTTGCCATGATTAAGCATGAGATTGCAAAAAAAAGTAAAGATTATGATCCTTAAAATTTCTCAGTGGCTTCACTATTTATTCTGTCACTGGACCAAAAGGACATAGATAACACATTCGCAGAGATGAGGAAAAACAGAAAATAACCTGGATTTGTACACACAAATATCCACTTA